TATTCTTTTAATTAGTAATTTGAATTTAAACCAATACCAATATAAACCAATAGTTACCAATATAAACCAATACCAATAGCAATACCAATACAAGAAATAGAAAATATTGTTTAAACCAATACCAATAAAATATTTTGTTAAAATTGGGTTTTTACTATTGGTTCCCAGCCCTACTCGACAGTCTTTTTTCGTCGGCGCACAGGTCTACATATAGTAAATATTTGTAAAATTTTTATTTCTCTTTGTTCCTGCTCAATAAATTTAGCTATTGAAAAATATACTCATTTATATTATACAATAAATAAATTAATAATATTTTTTAAATATCAGTTCTTAACTACATACCCATATTATATTTTGTTATTCTTCGCCATTTTTTATTCAAGGCAATTTCTGATTCGAGCCATCTGTAATTCCCAGACTATACTTCCTCAGGCCGAAGGCAGGGCTATGATAAATTACTTAGAAATTTAACTATCTCCGAGCTTGGGAAAAATTTTCAAAATTATTATGGGTTTGGCTGGAAAATTAATATAGGCTTGGACCTATCTTAGGAAAAATTTTAAAAAATCATTATGGGTTGTACCAGGTTTGAGAAAAAAATTTTAAAATCATAACGGGTTTGGCTGGGCTTGGGAAAAATCAAAAATTATTAAGCTCTATGGGCCAGACATTGGCCTAAAAATTTTTTTGCATTCCTGGGAGGGGCCTTATCAATAAAAGGACCATGAAGAACTCTGATTAATGTTTTGAACTACCAAAATAATTATGGTCTTGAACCAGGCTTTGGGAAATTTTTTCAAAATCATCGTGCTTGGACCTGGCTTTGGATTTATTAATATTAAATATTAGCCATAGGCAGAGTTGGACAGTACCGCGAATACTTGTATCTAAGATACAAGATACATGATCCTTTTGTATCTTGTACTCAGTATCTTATTGACATTTTTAAGAAGATACTAGTATCTTTATCTAAGATCCTTTATTTTGAAAATAATCTTGTATCTTTTTCATTTTCTTTAAAAAGATACAGATACAGATTCTTTTTAATATTCATGTTTAAAACATTTACATATCACACAATGTAACTTTATTTTCTTCGTGAAATCTTGTATTATTTTCTTTATTTATTCCCGCTATATTTTAAATATATTGATAACCAAAATTAGTTGGAAGTTTTACAGGTCACAAAGATTGATAGATTAAAAATAACAACACCAAAACTAAATAAGATAAGGATATATTTTATATGTAATATTTTTTAATTTGTAGAATGTTTAACAATCATAGTAGTGAAGATGAAATTATGAAGATAGGTTCTCCTGAATCAAATCCGAATCTTAAAATTCTAGATGGAAAATTTTATAAAGTAATTCATGTGAAAAGAAGGTTAATGATGCTTACTACCAAGTGAATGTATGGAAATATTCTAAATACCAACCTAATTTGCTAAATACCGACCAAAATTTATTAAAATGTAATAAGATCCTTATTATTTAATATATTAATACGGAATCACGTGGTCGAGTCCGGCCTCCTATATATTATCCTCCCAAGGATGGAACCACCAAGTTAGAATAAGAAAAAAACATGATCATTCCCGGGATTCGAACCCGGGAGCATGGGATAAGTAAACCAAGCTCTTGCCTACTAGGCCATAGAGCCTTTCCAAAAATTACGATTTTTCAAATATATATTATAAATATGTTTGGTAGTGCCTATCCAAATGAAAAATGAACAAAATTCAAATTTGATAGATGGTACCTTAAGGTACCAAGCATCATTAACCGAAAAATAACAAGGGGTACAAGTTGAATGTCAAAATTGCACAAGTAAAAAAGTTATTACAGGTTCAACAAACTCATCTACAAATTTTGTTAATTAAACATATTAAAGTATATTATACATTTTTATTTTATAATTATTAACATAATAATACCTATACTTAAGTCGCTCTTAGATAATTGTTATTAAAATTTTTTATAGAAGATAATTGAATATCAAATTAAAATCATTGGATATATATTTTTTAGGGATGTATCGATACCACTTTTTTGGAGGCCGATCCGATATTTCCGATATTAAATTGATATCGGTCGATTACCGATCCGATATCATATCTAATTTTGTATTCTGTAAAGATACCAATGGTTTTCATTTATAATATACTTTTTATTAGTATAACGTTTATAATTTAACTATACCATAACTTATGTCATTTAAATATATTATAATGATCAGTATTCAATTCAATTGCAATTCTATAAAAATATAAAATATTTTTATTGTTAAATCACTTTTATATAATAAGTAAGTAATAACATTTCACTTTTATATAATAAGTAATAACATTAATCTATATATATAAAAAGTAATAAACAATTATATTATGAAATTTGAAATAAATATTTAAAATAATATCTAACATTAATATATCGAAGATTTCTTTTTAGAAATACCAATATTTCCAATTTATCAGAGGTCAGCTTGCGGCGATAGTAACTGTTATCACCAACTTCACTAAAAACAGATTCTGAAGAAAATTTCGCACACTATAATAAACAGAATGCACAAAAAATAACAATATGGCAGAATGTTTATTAATTATTTATTATTATTAAAAAAATATACATAAAAAAGGATTTCGATTTTATTTATAAAAATAAATGATCTTAGATATAACTTTTTTTAAAAATTTTATAACATTTTATTTTTGTTAAAGAAGCCATTTTATATCGGATCAAATTTTATAATATTGGCCGATAACCCTATTTTAAAGGGTGAAGTCGGCCCGATTCGATAAAAAATATCGGCACATCCCTAATATATTTTATATATAATTATTTTAGCAAGTTCTTATTAGAGGAAATATTTAAGCTAAACTTGATATATAACATTAGATAATTTTAAAAGGCTCTTAATAAAATAATTAAAATAAAGTAGAATTTAACTTTATTAGTTACTTTTATTTATTTATGATATAAGTAAAATTACATTGCAGCATTTAATTACAAAATTTAATCAATTTAAAATGCATTAAAGAAAATTGTTATGTATTTAATAATTATAATATAATGTTATACATTAGTTTCATATTTTTTATATATAATTAATAATTTAATAATTATAATATAATGTTATACATTATTTTCATATTTTTTATATATAATTAATAATTTTGCAAGAAATATATAAAAAAAATTTGAAAAGAGATTTAAATGATATTTATATATATGATATTACAAACGCAAGAATTAATAAGTCATATTAGAAAATAAACTAATTTAAAAAATACATAAATATCACAAACAAGTAATGATAAATACTTATTAAAGATAAGGAATAAAATAAATCTAGTATATATTTTTTAGAGACGCCATTTAGCCATATAATCCGAATATAAGCTATATTTGAAACAACACAGAAAATAACATGCAAATTATAATAAAACATTTGATTTAAATTTTTTTCTTATTTGCAAATTTTCAACTCCCATTAAATATATTACTCTCCCTTCCCTGTTTAAGCAATTAATGGGCAAAAACTAATATTAAAATCCATGTTTATTATAATTAATTCATTAATAAATATTTTATTAATTATTGTAAATATTCATTCTTATATGTGTATGCTATGTTCTTCACAAATAAATAATAAAAGCTGTATTTTATAAACTATTCTAATTTAATTGGTAATGATAATTTAAAAGTATCTTCTATTTAAAATACTCTAATTTAGTAAAAGATACAAGTATCTTTTATCTTGTATCTTTTTGATATTTTGAAAAAGATACCAGTATCTGTATCTAAGATTCATTTTTTTATTAAGAATCTGTATCTGTATCTAGATTCTTTTTCTGGACTACCTGCCCAACTCTGGCCATATGTAATCAATAATATTTTAACAAAGAATTTTGATGTGAGTATCAAGTAAAAGCTATATTATTAATCAAAAAATAGTATTCACTTAGCATTAATGCGTTAAACTTGGCCTGCCTTAAGGGAGGGGGGGGGGTAAGAAGTATAAAAATTGGATATGGTTTTTTAATAAAAGATAACATCAATCGTAAGAGAACGAATAAAATTCTAATCCCCGTCATTTGGCGGGTTATCTACTAGTTAATATTAAATAACAAAAATTTATAAGAAATCTCATTAACTAGCGAAGAAACTAATACACACACATTCTAATTTAAAAATTATGTTTTTTAAGCAATTTTCCTAAGCGATTTAACAGAAAAACATGATGATATCAAAAATATTTGAATTTTATTTCAAATGGCAATGCAAAATAATCGAGATCTCGATAACTCAGAAAAAGATTTGATCCTGGATCATGATCTTACTTTATTTGGAAAAAGTGGGATTCAATTATTGTATGTGGATGGCTCACGAAGCCGTAACTATTGAGTAAAAGACAAAGTAAAAACTAGGGAAGATAAGTCTTTAAAAAAATTAACATTTTTCAAGGTGTACTAACCGTATTTCTCTTTCTAAGATTTATTCCTAAACTCTAATCCAATACTTTTGGAATCCTACTTTATCACCGCCTACCCCCCCCACCCCCAAAGATATATGGAGTATGAATCATACTCAAGCCCTCTCAGCCTCACCCTAGACAATGGGGAGTGATTCTCTGTTACTATTTATATAATGGCATCAATTATTTAGACTTATTAACCACATCTATAAATACTAAATATTAAATAATTTTTTATGTAGTAATAAATTAATTAAAATATTTAATAAAGATATATTAAAAATACAAAATGGTCAGTAAGTTTAATGTTTATCATATAAATGTTTTTTGATAAATATTTATAATTTTCGGAAACAGATATAATATTAACCAGAAATTTTTTGTATTTACTATAGTTCTTGCCTTATTTAAATTAAGAAAGAATATATGTTTGATTTTTTTTTATAATTTTAAAATTATTTTAGATACAATTTTACAACTTATCATTAAATATAATATGGCCGCGATAATTTGCTTTATCTAACTTTGGATTGCTTTTTAAATTTGTAAAATAATTAAATTTTTTTATTTATCTTTCATTTTTATATCTAACATTTTTGTAAATAATAAATACACATAAAAAGAACTAAATAATTGTAAATATTGTATAATTAATCTAATGAGCCTTTTATTGGCTATACCTAATAAATATAATACTATGTCTTCTTCATTGCATACAGACTTTTCAGATATTTCATCTAGATCTCTAGAATCAAAAGTGATATCTAAAATATATTTATAATTTCCTATATCTTTGTTTAGATTTCAGATGTACCTATTGATTCTCACACTGTATTATTAAAAGATGATGATCAATTGTTAAGATTGAAAATAAGACAAGTGATGGAATTAACAAATAGAACCAGTGATGAAGCTGCCTTTGCATTGCATGATGCTGATAATGATGTAAATAAAGCTGTAAACTTTTTATTAGAAGCTTCATCTGTACATACTTTTGTAAATTTATATTTTACTGTTATAATTTAATATTAATTTATAGCAAAATGAATGGAAAACAACTGTTTCAAATAGAAAAAAGAAAAATTTGCAAAATGTTTTAGAAAATAATGAAGGCCAGAAAAATAAACTAAAAAAACCTCTGGTCAATTTTGATAATAAGAAAAAGAAAGAGAAAGAGTTAAAAATTGAGTTAAATTTATCAAATCAAGAATCTAAGGATACTATTAAAAATGATTTTGAAACAGATAAATTTCAACCAGATACAACATTTAATAAATCAGAGTTATTGGATAATGAAAACAAATTCATTAAAATAGATCAAATAAACATAAATCAGGAAACACATAAAGATGAAGAAATAAAAAACAGTAATTTTCTTAATAAAAATTTAAAAAGACCAGTAACAAACAAAGATAACAATATTTCATCAAGGTGTAAAAAATATGAACCTATTTCTAATCAAGAAAATTATATTTTTAAACCCTTTCGAAATTTTTCAAATACATCAAAATTAAAATCGGACCAATATATAAATGAATCTAAATTTGATGAAAAAAGAAACAAGGAAAGATTTGATGAAAATTTGCAAAAGTGTAATGATGATCAGAACTGGCCAATTTCAAATAAAAATAGTTATTCTAGATTATCCAGAGGTGCAAAATCATTTAATTCTAAATTGACACAACCTCAATTTTATCCTAGGAGAATAGGTCCTACAAATATAAATAAAAAGTTGGTTATTTATTACATATAAATTTAATTTAATTTTTTTTAGTGATCACGAAGATCAATTAACCAACAGTTTTAGAGATAAATCCAAATTAAATGTCAAACCTGCCAGATCATTTGGATCTAATCATGTAGAGACAGATAGAAATGGTAGCCTATTTTTTAAATATTAATAATAAATTATACTTTGTAGAAATGAATAAATTTAAAACAGACAGATATAAAAATAAAACATATTTGAATAATCATAGGTATGATAGGGGGAGTTACCAAAATAAAGCTCCTCCTAATTCATTTTCAATATCCAAAAATAAGTTAATTTTTAAATAATTTTATTTTTCTAATTGTTAGAAATAATAGGATTTATAAAAATGAATGTTTTAATAAATACCCTAAACATATTGCTCCTCAAAGTGAATCAAATGATACAGGTATCTAATTATATTTTTTCAAACTATACTCTCCTTTATTTTAGCCAAACCACTGAAAACTGAATTTCAAAATGAAAATATCATTTGGAGTAGTGAAAGTTTTGGTGAATGGAAGGTTGATGAATGTGTGCATGAGAATGATGTAAGCATTTTTTTGTTTTATACTAATGCTGTACCTATTAGAGGTGGGCGCGAACCTAAATTTTCATTCACGGCCCGCCTGCTCACGGTGGTAATAAAAAAATATCATGCCCATTCACGCTTAACACTAAAAAAATTTTGATCTGACCCGCCTGCTCACGACAAGCAATATTTTGATTCACCTCTAAAATTCACGGTGTTTTAAATTATTTCAAAACTATTGCTATAATTTTACCCTTTTTTGAATTCATTCTATTTATTTCTCTAATTTCATAATCCATATTAATAACAAAAAATAAATACAATCTATAAATCGAAATTTATTTGGAAAAAGAAGAATGTCCATCCTTTTTTATTTCAATTGTGCACGCCTTTAATAACCTTTCACTAGAAGCCGAACTTGCAGCTGACAAAATTTTACTCAATAATTTTCTCAAAAAATGGAAATGAATATTCCTGCTTCCAAAACTTCAAAATATTGTCTTGTTATTTATCTTATATGAATCTTTTAAGTTTATCCTCACAGCTTTCATGGGTGACGTTGATGCTTCATCAGAATCATCTAGAAATATACGGTCTTTTATGAGTGTAGGATGAATTAGGAAAGTGATAGTTGGTATTGATCATTTAGTATATACAGTTTTTTTATGAGTTTAAGATAAGTTAGGAAAGTTATAAATGGTAGTTGGCATCGATTTATGCATATCATCTATTTTATATCATTTAGCATTTTCAAGATTGTTTTATATATATCATTTTCTTCTTTTATTAAAAACTTGATCTAGAATTAAGCCTACTATAGTGGCTGCAAAATAATCTTTTAAATGAAATCTTGTTCTGTATTTTAAGGTTTTGATTATTATTGTATCACGTTCAGAAGGTTAACAAAATTTTATTAATTTTTGTTTCCATAGACAAACCTTATTTATAGTGGGACGAGAATCTGCTCTCAGATTATCCAAGCATTCTTTAAATATTTATAAAAATTGATCTAACTCGCATATGATCCTGATATCAATTGTGGCTTATCTATTTAATTGTTGCTTGCTAAAAGTAAAACTGTATTTCAGAATATGATTTTAAGAAACTCTGTATCATGATATATACAGAGTTCCATCTTGTTATTCTCGCTATTACATATTGCTTAAGGGTGTTGGTTAGTTTGCTATTAGCTGTGTTTGAAATATTGTACCATTTTTTTACACCATTTATATTTAAGGCTATTTCAGTTAAACAATTGTCAAAAATTTAATGCATAATATTATTTAGTATATGGCATATACATGCTAGCGTTTCGTCATCTCCGTTATCACTCACAACTATACATTTATTTAAGTAATTTTCTACTTCTGTATATTCTCCTAAAATTGAATTGACTACACTTTTAATTTTTGACGTTTTTTTCATTCATTGCTCTTGTGGCCAAAACAAATGTTTTTAATTAAAATCCTTAATGATAATATGTCCTATAATGGTTAAAACTTAGATTTTTATAGTCATCCATCTAATTATCAGTGATTATGGACAATGATTATGCTTTTAATCTTAAATTTTATTTCATGGTATATTTTTGGACCTATAGTATTCATAAGAGTTTTACGGTTCACAACTTTTATATTTTGTTATCCATACGTAACACCAACATTTATCTCTTGGCCTAGCTTGTAAAATCCTTCACTTTCTGTTGCATTTAAAGATTGAAGATCTTTACAAATAAAATATAACTGACTTTTCTGTAAAAAGTTTAAGCAAAATTTAGCATAAAGTCTTGCGAAAAAAACACCTAAACATAAAAAGAAAATAGAACTAACAAAATGATACCGGATGTTGTTTATAAAATACGGAAGATTTTTAGTTTTTATTCTTTTTTAAAAAAGAACTAAATTAAATAAGAAAATATACAATATAATTATAAAATTGCAAATTTATATTTATAAAAAACAATTTTAAAAATTAAAATTTTCGTGATTCATGGGAAATTTATGTTCACGCCCGATCACGCCTGGGGAAAATTTTGGGAAGGCCCGTCACGCCCAGTCACGCCTTGGAATTTAAAATTTATTCACACTCACGCCGTCACGCCTAATTTCACGGCCCGCGCCCACCTCTAGTACCTATATTAAATATCAGATATAGTATTTTTGAAAAAAATCAGACTGGGCCGATATTTAAAACTGATCCAATATACTTATTGTTTTTGGCTATTTTTAGGGTTGTACTGATGACAATTTCCACTGATCCAATCTGATATTTGTCAATATTTATTTTAAACAGCACTGATCTGAAACCTATATTTATATTGATTTATTTACCGATATTTTTATAATATAAGATGAAATAATATACAAATGAGCATAATTTATATGCTACAACACTATATATTAGCGTTGTTAAATAGCTCATTTTAAGTTGATTTTTATAAATAGCTAGCTCAATATTTTATCCATAAAAATATTACCTATGCTTCGAGATTTCGAATGGCCAAAATATTTCAACTTTCGTAATATTTATCTGGATAAAATATTGAGCTAGCCATTTTTATTTCAACTAGGGCCATTTGACAACACTATGTTATATTATATATCTTCATATTAAATTAATTATCTGTATAACAAATTAACTTTGTAAAGTAAAAACAAATTAAATATTAATTAATAAAATAATATAATAATGAAATTAAAAAAATTATATTGAATATTTTTTCTTATAAAGATCAGTTTATGCGATAATAAGTTTCTTCTATGAGGGCTATCTATATCTAGTGTTAATAAACTTATCCAGATAAATATTGCTCAAGCCTGAAGACTTTGACTATATTAAGCACAAAGGTTTGGACAATTGCAAAAATATTGAGGTTTAAGCAATATTTTTTATAGTTAGACTCAAATTAAGCTGTTTATCAACGCCATTTATATCGCCAGCTTTGCTTAAGACTAATTTTGATGAAACACAGGACATACCAAATACTAGCATGCAAGGTTTGCCAAAGTTTGAAATCTTTGAGCATAGGGTATTGATCAGATATAAAATATTTATATCTTTGTTAATTAATTAAATTTAAATTTGCATAATTTTTATCTACTATAAATTCTTTCTTAATAAAGGCAATGGAATAAACAATATATAAAATACACAAAATTTTTGGGTTTTCTTTATATTAATATACTTTACTTTGTCTATTGTTAAAAATTGTAAAAAAAACATTGATTATTTTTATTTTCATATTTTTATAGAAGTTATAAAGATTTATTATAAATAAGGGAAATTAGTTCAAAAATATAAAAAAAATGTGTAAAAATAAAAATATGCATTAAATTCGGTATCCGTTAAATTTTTTAAAAATATTGTATATCTATATTTTATATCAGTTTAGCCCTAGTTATTTTATGATAGTATATATATATATTTTTATTCAAATATTTTTATTTAATACATTATTACATAATAATTATCAATAAAAGGAACAAAAATCAAATTTATTTGTAATATTAAAAAAAATTGATAAAAGATAATGTAACTAAAAATTTGAATTCTTCTTTGCTTATATTTACAAGTTACATTCATCTACTGTTGTTAAATGATTAGATAGCCAGTTTTTGAACATGGCTACATTTTAGTCAAGATAAAATTACCCAAGTTTGGAGATTTTGCTCACAGATGGAAAGTTTTGGATCTACTGGCTAAATTTTGAGGCATAAAGGATATTATTTTGGCTCTTAATTTAGCTGTTATAAAAATTGGCTAAATCAAACCATTTAGCAACACCACATTTAGCTATGAACATTCTCCAAATTTAAATGATTAACTTTTGAAGAATTCATCAACATTAGTTGGTTTTTTATTAGAAAATAGCAGTGCTGTAAACGTTATTACAAAAAAGAAACGCGTTACCGTTACTAGTTATGTCTGAAAAAGGAACCCCTTATCATTACTAATTGCCTTTTTAAAAAAGGAATGCGCGTTACTGTTTATTCAAAAAAGTAATGGGTTACTCGTTACTTAAAAAAATTAAATAGTATATACAAAAAAATATTAATTTTTTTCCTACAATTAGTGTTGTTAAATTACTTAACGTTAGTCAACTATAAAACAACATAGCTATGTATTTATCCAAAAATGTTAGAATCAATCTTCAAATTGAGACTCAACTTAGAGATTTAATTTAGTTTTTTAGGCTAAAAACTACTTAACCACAATAGAGATGGTCAAAGTTTGGTAATTTAACAACACTACCTACAATATATATTATAAATAAATCTAAACAAAAAGAATATATAATAAAATAAGGTCTTTTTATAAAAATAATCTTCATATATATAATCTCCATATATATAAATAAAATTATACAAAAATAATATATATATAAAATAAAATCTTTTTGAATTTTTTTATTTATTTTTAGCAACAATTGATTTTCAAAATTTTGATCAGACAAGCATGAGTGCTTAGATCTCAACAGTGCTATACACAAGTCCAATTGGCACAGAGGATGGGAGAGTTGAATTATATTTAATAAATAAAAATTTTAATTTGGGGAATTTATTAAAAATATTTAAAGAATTATCTTTATTTTGAAAAAGCTTAATAGATCATCTTCAAAAGTACTTCAATCATTTCATCATCAAAATATTTTTAATCTTTATCAGAAATTGTTCTGGTACGTTTGTTGGATAAAGGAATTTAGCTCTTTCTTTATCAAGATCTTTTCTCAAACTGGAAGTAAGTTCTAGAATTCTTCTCTCGTTGACATCTAATTTTATCCATGGCCTATCCAATTTAAATAGGAGGGAATTTATTGTGGATAGTATATATTCATCTTTATATATGTGTTTGAATTTATTGAATATAAAAGATAATCAAAATATAAATTGTTTTATAAGCAATATTTGAACTGTATACCTTTTATCTATGATTGAATTAATAAGTGGCTTACAAAATTTGAAATTATTTAAAGCCATTTTTTAAGTTTTAATATTATAATAGTTATCGTGGGAGTGAGATATCCCAAATGCACGGATCCATAACCTATAAAATCATATATATACATATCATATTTCTTAATTAACATTAACCATACAATATTCATCCATCATGAACGACTTGTTTTAAAAATCTCTTATATTCAGATTTATCACAAGATTCGTCAAATTTTTGGCAATTCCTTAATAAGACTGTCTTTTAATTTCACAGAGTTATAAAAAGAGTTCCATATTGTTATAACCGTTTAATCAGATATCTTACCATGTTTTCCTTAAAAATGACTGCACAGTTTGAAAATTACCCATGTTTATTCCCCAATGTAATTTTTGAAATGGGTTTAACCCTCTATTGCGCGACATATCAATAAATAATATTAATTTTTAAAAAAACGTATTTTTGTCTTTAGGGCCCTTAATAAACTAAATATAATTTTAAAAAAAATTTTTTTAAACTGTAAAAAAAATTTCAGTGTATGTATTTAAATATACAATGCATGTAAAAAGTATCATATTTTTCCAATTTCAAACCTAAATATAATTTTATTATTTGATAAATAATGTGATAAAACAAATTTATATTAATTTTCATAAAATAATTTAAAACAATCGTTTTTTTGTAGTAAAACATAATGATAAAACATATTTGATACAAATCACTTTCATAACCAATTTACACCCAGGTTTTTGCATCGCGCCTTTTTACTATATTTTGGCCAATGTGCTATTAAATCCTGTTTTATTTCTTTCTGCATATTCAGACTTGTCAGCCCTTTCCTAGATTTTTTTAAATATTTGGTGTCAATTGATATTCGTTTTTTTACACTAGCGTTCATATTTTTGTTACATTTACAGAAGAGTATCTGCTATTGAAATTTTAAATGTTAATAATGGCATCTGTTCTTTTACTGGTACCTTTAAAGCTACAAAATTTCGCCTATTCATTAAAGATTTATGAACATTATATCAAGTATATGGAATACTATACGATGATATCATTTACGTGATCCTATGTGAATACATGCTCCATCTTTTAGAATTCTTTCTAAGTTGGAAGCTGGAAATTATAAATTCTATTAGCTCTCTGTAGCAATACTCCCTTTTGGGCGAGTAATACTTGAAGTTCTATACCACAGAACCAATTATCAAAACAATTTAAAATTTGAACGCACTGGTACAGTTAAATGAATATAACAATATATTATATATAAAACATTTCTTTTATCTTTATTTAATAGGATTTTTAACTTCCTGTTCCTTAAAAATTTGTACAAGAGAAATGACATAAATTATAAAAAGGAAAAATGGAACCATTTGGAAGTTGTAAACTACGTATTTTAGAATTTTTATATTGATAGCTGACTCTCATTTTTAACAATTAACTATAGAAATAAATAAAATATATGTGTATCTATTATACATCATGTGTATTAAACTGTAAAAAATTTTATGTTAAACTTTATACCTTTTTTTATGTGTATTCAAATATGATGTATGAAGGGCCGGCCACCGACTTTTTTTGGTTACGCCGAAAACGCCGCCGTTTAAAAAAAATCACGCCGGCGTTTCTTTCATATTTCATACCTTTTTATTTTAATAATTGGTCAATCACTGTTGTAATTTTTTTTAATGTCAATCAGGATTTTGACGAATTTTTATTTTCTACTATTTTAAAATCATAATTATATTGACGTCATTATAGAATTCAATCAATCAAAAATCTAAAATTCCAAAAGTTACCATAATTTTATATATTTTAAAAAATGGATGTCTACATTTAATAATTCTATAAAAATTTTAGTATTCTAAGGGTGCATTCACAGTAGAGAGCGACAGCGACACGACATTAAGCGACAGAGCAGCTGATGTGTCGTAAGCGACATAGCATTCATAGTAGTAGGCGGCAAACATATTTTTATTTTTTTTAAAAAATGGTGTCAATTACAACTTTAAAATTAATCCTCTTATATCGAGCAATGAAAAGACGCAGAAAAAATAACCTAAATGTTAGAAAAGAAGAGGAGGGTGAGTTCGCCATACTTTTCCCCAAACATTGATCCAAAAGTTTATGATAATTATTAAAAAGAAAGTATATTGTGAGATTAAATTTTATTAATATAATAAATATGCAGCAAAGCATTGATCCAAGAGTTTATGATAATTATTAAAAAGAAAGTATATTGTGAGATTAAATATTATTAATATAATAAATAAGCAATATTATTCTACATCACTATCAAAATTTAACAAAATGTCACAAATAATTTTTATTAATTTTTTCTTTCCACTATCTGATCTTTTTGCCAGGGTCTGCTCAAGCATCACATTGATCCAAGAATTTGTTGATTTTCTGCTTTCTTTTATTCCTTCAATTTCAAGAACTTGCTCAAATAAATCTAGTTTAAAATAATAATATATTTACAAATGCAAATTACCTTGATCAATATCTCTCTTTTTAATTAACTTTTTGCCAGGTACATAAGATTCACTAGTTGATGGTGATGCTAAATATATAATATTATTATTTATATAAAATATAATCACCATCATTCCTAACATCTGTAGATTGACTCTGACTAGTCTCTACACATTCAATTTCAACAGCTATATAATAATAAAAATTTTAACAAAAATTAGTATATTTACCATCTTCATATTGGAAATTTCCACTCATCTGTTCAAACATTGCTCTAGCAATGTTTGCTTCACCAATATTAGGTATAAGAGGTTTTATTTTTTTCAGGTTGGTGTATTGTTTCCCAGATTCTATAGTGGGAATCAAAAAAGTTAAATTATTATAAAATTTTCAGGTGGGACTGTGATCAGCCCTTGACCCACTTTTTAAACATTTCAACTTTTTATGTTCCCTCAAAAAAGAATCTCTTAGATTCTTCCATGTAGATTTAGCTATCTCTTCTGTAAAAGAAAAATATTTTAAATTAATATAATCTTTAATTACCTGTCTCAATACTATTTTCTGCTGCTATGGATTTCCATATGGAATTATTTTTCTGGGTATTTTTATACCCAATTGATCTTTTGTCATAAAGACAAGGGTAAAATCTAACAGAGTTGATCAACTCTTCTTTATTTATATCCTAAAAAATATATATATGATATTTTTATAATCAAAAATTTACTCAAATTTTGTATTTCGGCCATATTATAGTTTGTCGCTTTGAAAATAACAAAATGTTTTGTAATGTGATTTTTATGTTTAATGCGACAAATTTGGCGGGATTGTCGCGTCGCAAAAGCTCACTATGAATAGTCATTGGTATTTATTTACACATATTTGTATTTTGTCGTGTCGCTGTCGCTCTCTACTGTGAATGCATCCTAACTCTGAATAAAAAATCCATAGTCTGGAAATATTTTTGCAAAAGAATTAGAGAAATTATTACTGCTCTAAGATATAAAACTGCAGAGGTTGAATTAGAATTGAGGAAGATCAAAAAAATGTCTAAGTACAATAGATTTAACATCAGACATGTTAGATCTTGACAGCATTGATCCATACCCGGATACCCGTTTTCAAATTGGCAATTCCAATGATAATAATAACAATAATTCCACGCATATGAAAACCTTAAAATTAAATGTCCCAAGCCCAACATGATGGCATAGTATATTAATTATGCTAGAAAGCATATCTGGATTAAATAAAAATTTAATTAATAATGTTGAATTGGGAAGCACTTTAACAAATTATGAATCTGAGCTGGTAGAAGAACTATTAGCATTTTTTTTCAAAATTTAAAGAAACTGTCGAATTTCTTTCAGTACAAAAAGGGCCTACTTTAAACTTGGCGTTACTGTTTAGAAGGGAAATTGAAACAAATTTAATAGTATTCGGTATGTAATCTGCAAGTAATAATATATAATATATTCTTTTATTTTTTATTTAAAATTATCTAGGTATTGGCTTCTCTTTTAGATCCAAGATTTCAAAAATTGACAATTGTGTCAAAGTATTTAATAAAGCAAAATTGTTCAGCTTCAGAATTTATAATAAAACATCTTAAACTTATAGAGAATGATGATAATCAGGTTAGTAAATATAGCTAATGAGGATCAAGATGAATTATTAAATTTAAGTTATTTGACAAAATTGGCAAATAAACATTTAACAAATATAAATTATGATTCCAAGTTAGGTGATTTAGAACAAGAATGCCACAGTTTTCTTGGAAAACGATATTAACAAGATATGGACGTTCTAAATTTTTGGAGAGGAAAGAAGAGTAAACCTCCCAATCTTTCCAGGCTCGCCAAAAAATTCTTTGCATTTGGGTGACTAGCACACATAGTGAAAGAGTTTTCTATACCGCTGGATTGACGTTAAATTCACGGGGATCATTATTATCCCAAAAATTTAAATAAAATAATTTTTATACATGATAATTATAAAATTACGAAATCGATTTTGGATTTATAATGAGTTTTCTAATAAATAAATATTAAAAAATATGCCGAGATATCTGTAGAGTAATGTATATTTGTTTTTTAAAAAATAATAAGCAATTAAAAAAATTTATAACTGCGCCGATTTACGCCGATTTTGTTGACGGCGGCTAAAAATCGGCGCGCCGCCGGCCGTCGATAGGATTTTTTGAAAATTGTGCCGGCCGCCGATAGTTTTGTTGGCGTACAGGTCTAGATGTATGCAATAGAGGGTTAAAAAGACATCTTTACCTGCCTTTTCAATGTCAACACTTGCCAATGAGATTTAAAGTGTGTGCTGAACAAGCATGCTTAGGTACAATAGTATCATTAGTATTATTTTCAAATAGATAAAATAATGGCAGAACTATTTCATCATCCGTTTCCTCTCCTTGTTCATATACTCTAATAAATTTTTAATAAATATATTAGATTTTTTTTACTTAAAAGCTTTTATATAATTTCAAGCATTGTCGGTAATGCATTTTGTCACTTTGTATCTAATATGTGGTAAAAATTTCAAAGATGATTTTTGCTAGATATTCAAATGTTTATTTTGGTTCCTTTTAAAAGCTAAGCAGGCTGAAACCCTCTCAAGGGTCTGGGTGTACCCAGTGTTCCCCCATCTCTAAATAAGAACTTTTTTAAAAGACAATATTATCAATTTATAATATATATATTTTATATACCAATGATAAGTTAACCAAGAATCCACAGTTTTACAGACACCTTTTGGGTTATACAATAAATCCAGTAATTTCTTTGCCATGGTGTCATATGCTTTGTTATTTTTAATACGAAGGTATACCTATACATTATAATTTTAGTTGGCTACAATTTTTTGATAATATTAATAAATTCAGGGCTTTCTACAATTGGAAAGGGTTCTAATTCCTCAATTAAAAAATTATAAACTAATTAACAGCTGATTATGCTATATTTATCTTTGATGTAGATGGATTTTGCATCTCAATGAGTGTGAGTTGATTGGCTTCAATTTTTTTTATTATTATTAATCAATCTCTTTCATTTTTGAGGAATTTACAAATCTTTCAAAAATTTAATTGCATTTTTTTAATCCCTCACTAAGCTTACTGTCAAGGAAAACATTAAAAATTGAAATTATGATTGCCAAAGATAATTTTTCAATTTCTTATCTTTTTCAGAATTCAAAATAATCATTTTAAAAAAAATCATGAAAAATATCTAAGTTCAGTTCTCTAAAACAATATTGCTTCGTGGTTTTATTACACATATATATTTATTTAAAAATACATATTTATTTTAACAAAGTTATTTTAATCACTATTTTATTCTTTAAATTTATTAACAATTTGAAATTAAACCCATAGCAATACTAAAACAAGAAATAGATGATATTGTTTAAACAATATTTTGAACCAATACCAATATTTTGTTAATCTTGGGTTTTTAATGTATAGCTTATATTTTAATTTCATGATTAAGCTTTTCAAAAAATTATCAAAGAATACTTCTTTTAATGGTTATTTTATAATACCCATGATTTAAAATTCTATTATTAAAGTAATGTTTAAAATAATAATATATTAATTCATACCTTGATATGCTTTTTTAAGTTTGAACTGCTAGACATTGAGGTGAAATATGCGCTGGTACATAATTTATATATACAAAGTCTCGACTTCTTAATTTTCTTTATTGATGTAAAATATGTTTCAAATTGGGGCCAGGGAAAGGTTAAATCATCTTCATCTGAAGAAGTACTATGGACTTAATATTCTTAAAATAAATTATAAAATAGATTAATATTATTATTAACATTTACTTTGAATTAATATTCGACTGAAAATTTAACAACGAGAATTTAAAATAAAAATGAAGGAATGGTGGTTGATGTGAATTAAAAACTTAGCTTAAATTATTTATATAAGAGTAATTTTATCGTAACGTAACGAGTAACGTTTTGCGTTACCGTTACTCAAAAAAATAGAAACGCTTTACTGTTACTCGAGGTAACGAATGACGTTCATTTTCTTCAAAAAAGGTAACGACGTTACTTTTTTATGGTACTTTACAGCACTAGAAAATAGTGATTTTTTTATGACCTTGATTCAATTATGGATGGAAAATAAATATATATATATGGGATCGGTTATTGGATTGGTTTTATAGTAATATTAGGAAATATTGAATTGGATCCAATTGATTAAAAATTTGTGGATAACCACCTTATTTTATACTTTATTTATATTACATTAATATTATTTTTTAGTCAAAAGGAAATTCAAAAGTTTCAGATAAAGAAAATAATGCAAGTGTAGTTACAAAAAGGTACATTAATAGTAGTGTTCATAATATTTTATATAGGATTAAATATTTCACCGCTACTGATTTACTTTAGATATTTAACTTGTTTCATAATTTATTTTTACTTTAAGACTTTAAAATGATTATTAGAAAAGTTAGTAAACTGCTTGTCAGATATTTTTTTCATATAAAAGCCATCTTATTTTTGAGAAAATTTATAGAAAATATTAAATTATTAAATTCCATTTGGATAATTAACCGGAACCCAACCAACCATACTATTTTTTTGGCTGTAAAGAGGTCTGAACTGGTATTGGTTAACCTTCTCTACTATTTAAAATGATATATTATATCCTGATTGATATATTTTAATTTTTAAATTAGTTAAATTATAAAAAAAAATAGAATAAAAAGAATAATATTTTGGCAAAATGTAAGTAGGAATATGACAGACACAAAAATCAGGATTCGTTTATCTCTTTAATTTTTATAATTAAGTAGAGATGCATGTTAATTATGGTATTGGTTAATATCGGTATTGGCTGATACTTTAAATTATTATCACTACCAATTGCCAATAATTAAACAACATTATGCCATAAATTTTTATAATAATTCTAACTTAAAAAGAAGAGGGAAAGTATTGTTCCAATTGCCCAACACCATGCTAGTATCAATTTGGGTATTGATATTAGCAACGTGATATCAGTTCATCTCTACAATGAAGACTCAATATTAATATCAGACTGGATTGAGCTTATGTTTGTAGTTTTTTTCAAAATCAAATCTGATATTTTTGATACCAGATCAAATATAGATGGTTATTTTATGATTGTATATAAATATAATAATATAATTTTTTATTCTAAAATGGTATCAAGATTCAACTTATTTGTTATGTTAAAAAAAATTATTATTTTAGAAGAAAGAGTATTGAAAATATGATTATTTTGATACTATTTTCAACAAGAAAAGGATTTGAAAATATTTAATCAGGGGGTCAGAAGCATTGCTCATGTTTTAAATAATATGATTTATTCTTAAAGAATTATGAATTGGCAGAGCCCTAATAATAAGAAATCATTATGAATATTATTAAATTTATTTATTAATAAAATGATGAAATATTTTTTTTAAATGTATAAATTATCAACCAGTATTGACATTGTTCAACTCCTTGGGTCTGCTTTAAAAAAATCTGATAAAAAAGAAAGCTGGGATGATGACATTCTTAAAGATAATGTTGATGTTAAAGGTAATGATAATAACAATGCCGAATATTATAGTAACGACAACAAAAAAGCATCTGATACCATTAAAAACGCTATTGGGGTAAAATTCTTTCTTATTTTTTTACGCCCCCCTTAATATTTACCCCTACTAACTGTAATTATATTTATGAAAAAAGTCGTATCAGGGCATTATTGTTATAAATCATATTAAATTAATAAGAATAAAATATTTTTTAGGTCCATCTAAAACGGTAAAACTATGGTCGCACGTGTAAAGCTTGCCTTGTTCCATAAAACTATTATACAATGCGATTTACTTAATCTTACCTTAAAATTGAATTTATTTGATATTAACAGTTTTTGTTTTTAAATGAATATGATAGGGATTTAGTCATGATTAATGTAGATGAACAATCTGGTCATATCAGTCTTAAGCTAAAATCCATATTTCTTTGGTCCAGATCTCTCTTTAGATTTCCAGTGTTAAATACATATGTTTGAATCAGGGACTTGGAACAGGCATTTTTGCGTTCTTGCCCCATTTCGTTTTGGACAATAAGGATGTTTGTCCTAAAACCATCTTATTTAAAAAAATCTTAATCACTTTTGATTTGTCCTAATAATTTACCGGCATGTGCACAATAAAATGTCTTAATAATTTTTATTATATTTATATTTATTTATTACTAAATTAAAAAATTTTCTCTCTTATTGTTATAATTAAACTTTATTCTATAAATTATTCGAATTCCATGACAAATCATCAAGTTTTTCAGACGGCCATTTTAAATATGAATGAAACTTGCTATGAAGTTTATACAGACTGTATTTTAATGCTCTAGCACAAATAGAACCCAAGTTATGTTCCTTGTCAATATAAATTCCATTTAGTTTTTTTAAAAATTTTATCTATAAAATATAAAAAAAATAAATATCCATTTTATATTATAAATAATCATTAATATTACTAAAAAATTATTATAATACACCAGAAATTTAAAAAAACATTTTTTCGTATCTCAATAAACGAAAATATATTATAATTATTTTTAACCATAGTACCTTACCTAGTGTTGTTAGACGGCTAAATTTGAGCATATTTTTAAAAACGACTAACTTATTATTTTGTTTGGAATAATATTTCGCCAGGCTGAAGATTTTGATCATGAATGGCACAAAGATTTGGGCATCTTTGAGTGAAATTTGAGACTTAGGCAATATTTTAATGGCTTATATATTGAGTTAACCTTTTTAAAAATCAGGTTAAATTTGAGCCATTTAACATAGTGTTGTTAAACGGCTCGATTTAATCAGCTTTAAATTGAGATTTTGGTCAAAATAATATTGCTCAAGCTTCGAGATTTATTTAATAAATGTTCAACCTTTCTCCCATATACGTGAAAAATCTCCAAGCTTGCTTATTACCTTCTGCCTAAAATATGGGGCTAGTCGTTTTAAAAAATCAAGCTAACAGCACTAATTAGCGTCCTTCTATGATTTTTTCCCCCTAAAATTATATAAATTTGGTAATACGTGATATTAAATGCACTAGCCCTAAACGTCATATGTTTAACAGTTATATATACAACAGCGCTTAGTTCTCTCATGAAAAACCCATCAAACTGGGATAAAAGATGGGAAATAATTAAGAGGACTATCCATTTTTTTTGGCAGGCCGCAGTTACCTATGCATGCAAGAAGCAAAACCACTTGTTTAAACGCCCATGGGAAATAAGAGAAGGGGATAAAAGTATTGTTGTTAAACGAGCCGATTTTTAAAAACGGCTAACTCAATATTTTATTCACAAAAATATTACGCAAGCCTGAAGATTTTGCCCGTAGATGGCACAAAGGTTTAGACATCTATTAGCCAAACCTCGATGCTTGAACAATTGTTTTCTTGTTAAAATATTGATTTAGCCGTTTATAAAAATCGGCTCAAAACGAGCCCTTTAACAACACTAGATAAAAGGCCCATGCCCGATTAAATAAAAAATTTGATTATGGAAGGGTTATATTGGCTATGTTAATATTGCTTTTAATTCTTTGCCAGAGCCTAGAAATAAACATGATTAAATCAAATAAAACACCAGTACAAATATAGTACAATAATACTAGTTCTTTATATCCAACTTTTAATATTTTTACGTAAATATTTAAATGGGTAGTAAACATATTTGGTGAGTTTCATCATTTTAGATTTGGCTTACCGGAAATTCAACGACATTGAGGATATCATCAAAATATTTTAATTTTTTCTTAAAAAGAATTTTGAGGGCTACAGATTGATATATAATTTGTGACTTTAGATTAAAAATATTTTTAGTAATTTGAGATTAAGAAGAAAAACTTTGTTTCATTTATTCTAAAAAGGCATCGTCCAAAAATCCTGTTTTTTGGTCGATTTGGTATGGAATCCCTCATATTTTATAAATTAATATAGTAATATAATTAATTACATAATCTCTTATTAGTATTGTTATTTTATAAATTAATAATAATATAATTATTACATAATCTCATATTAGTATTGTTAATTGGCATATTAGGCCAATTCAAATGAAAATTTTTATCCTAAAACACTTTTTAGCCAAAAGATTATTGTGAATCTCATTTATAGTGAAGAATTTTAGAGCGAGGTAATATTGCAAAAACAATTCCGCGATACATTTATAGTGAAGATAATATGGTAAATACACCCATTATCTTGAATTTATTTTTTCGAAAACCTCTACCATGAACACCTAAAAGTGAATACATTTTAGCAAAACATTTATCGCGAATCCTTTATAGTTACCGCAAATGTGTTTTAGCAAAATCTGATTCTAGAACACTGAAGCTAATACATTCTAGCGAAATTTTTATCACAAATCCATAATAACGAATATATACCAATGCATATGCCATTATAATATTTTTTCATTTTATAGACTTATCATTTCTATTATTTTTGTCATATAGTTCTTACATATTGCTATTTTAACTTTCCTTCATAGGAATTTTTTGTAGGCCAGGTTAGAATACCTTTTCAAAAAGGTTCATGAACTAGTTTGGGCTAGCCCATGCTAATTTAGTAACTATAAAATTTATAATCTTCCAAATTTTTATAGGAATTGAAAGAGATGGTTAAGAGGTGCACGATTTGGTATGGAAATATTAGACCAGTCCAATCAATAACTCTGTTTTTTAAAAAAATAATAAATGATTTGGCCAGTCTTATTATTATAAAATCGGCACATCCTTAATGATATACATATTTGTTCAGCTGAAGAGTTTAAAAAAACACTTTCTTGCATACTTGGTTCCCAGGGTTCTAGTTTTTGGTTAATAATAATAAAAAAACTAACTATGAATCACAATTTAAAAGAAAAAGAACTTCATAAAAAGTATATACCTAGCAGCTATTAGATATATTTTTATATAAGACCTTCATAAAACGACCTGCCAAATAGTGGTCTTTTATTTATAATCATGGTCTGTGACTAGTGTTGCGTAATCGGCTAATTTTAGCCTACTAAAAACAGCTTAGCCGAGATTTTAGGTGGAAAAATCGGCTAAGCCTAATTAGGTATAGCCTAAAAATCGGCTAAGCCTAAAAATTGGCTAAGCCTAAAAATTGGCTAAGCTTAAAAATGGGCTAAGCCTAAAAATTGGCTAAAATAAATTAGTCAAAATTCTGCATCGATGCTTAGCATTAATTATTATTTATTTATTTTAGTAAAATAATTTATTTTATTTATATTTAATGTAAATATTTTATTATTATCAACAAATAAACATGATATGATTTAATATTTTTTATTTATATTATTATATTTTGAAATGAAAATAAATTTATTCAATTTTCTATGGTACATCTTCACTAAATTTTTATTTAAACATGTTATTAATACTTATTTTAACATATTGTCGTCAAAAAAATTCAAAAAACTTTAAAAATAACGATTATGACAATTGTCACTTTTCTTTGGTACATCTTCACTAAATTTATATTTACACATGTTATTAATACTTATTTTAACCTATTTTCTTCAAAAAACTTATAAAATAACGATTATGACAATTGTCACATTAAAATATTATCCTTAAAAAGATCATATAAAATCATCAAAAAAGTTTCATAAAATCCACCTCATTTAATAAAAAATAGATAATTTTAAAAAAATTATAAAAGATTTCACCTAAAAGATTGTTTATTTATCTAATAAAATTTACAATATAATTCCTCAATAAAAGATGTATTTATAAAGAAGATTGTGAAAATCACTAATAAATTATATTAAAAAGAATATTACAATTTTACAATATAGCAGCATATTATTTTTTTTATTAAAATAACATCAAATAAATAAATTTATTTTCATTTCAAAATATAATAATATAAATAAAAAATATTAAATCATATCATGTTTATTTGTTGATAATAATAAAATATTTACATTAAATATAAATAAAATAAATTATTTTACTAAAATAAATAAATAATAATTAATACTAAGCATCGATGCAGAATTTTGACGAATTTTTAGCAGATTTATATAGGCTTAGCCGATTTTTAGGCTTAACCTAATTAGGCTTAGCCGATTTTTAGTTTTAGCCGATTTTTAGGCTTACCTAATTAGGCTAAGCCGATTTTTAGGCTTAGGCTAATAGGCTTAGCTGATTTTTAGGGCTAATAGGCTTAGATGATTTTTAGGCTTAGCCGATTTTTAGGCTTAGCCTTATTAGGCTTAGGCGTAGTTTTTAGCCGATTACGCAACACTATCTGTGACATCTTTTTGGCTTCCAGTATGAACTAAGAATCGGACTGTATTTTTGCTAGTTATGGCTTAAATAAAACCAATAAAAAGATACACCTTTTAAAATTGTCAATATTAAATTTGATCAAGTTTTTTATTTAAAATAGATTGGTATGGATAAAAAAAGTGAAACCCCCATTAATTCATCTATTATAAGTAATATGTGGGATGACCACTATCAACAACCAAAACAGAACATCAAATATACAAATTATACTGATACGACCAATCGTCATAACACTTCCTTTAAGCCTAAATTGCTACCACTTTCAAAAGTATATAAAATATCTTTAATTATAATATTTGGTATTGGACTAGGGATTCGAACCTTAACTATTGGTTTAGGTTCAGGCTCATATAAAAATAAAGATTTTGAGTTCATGTTTCTATAGAAAAAAAATATAAGTTCTGCTTGGACCTTTAAACCCCTAGAACATTTTCCCAATGTTCCACATTAGTATTTACAGAATATAAACCGTTAAAATATTGCCACCTAAATCAAATTTCTAAAAAGGTCAGTGACCCGTTTGAACCTTACGATATCCAAACTCTTTTAATATCCCTCGACAAATATTGCAAATAGAAATCCTGAAAATTAATAATCTATTGTTGATAAAGCATCACTGATTGTTTTTAGATATTATGTCAATTGCCCAAGTTAGTATTGATAAGTATTTCTTTTCCTTGTCGATTAATTTGACAGAAGGGAATCTTGAAAATATTTAAATTATACATGTATCAATATTATTTTTTAGGGAATAATAAAATTTTTAAAATGCTTGTCTTTACTTAATTCTAATTTATTTGCATACGAAAGGTTCAAACAAGAGTTTAAAGGTTCTAGCCTTACCAATATTATTATTTTTAACGAAATGAACCGTTATTTTTTTCTGAACGAAACCGATATTCGCATAAAGCAAGTAACTTATTTTATTACTATTTCCAATATTATATACCCAATTATTTATTATAAAATTGGCTACTGAAACTGATAATGGTAACTTATCTAAATTGATATTAAAATTTAAAACAGGTATCAAAAGGTTTTAATCGGTTACTGACTTTTAGAGATTCACAATATTTAAGGTTTGTTTTGATAAATAATACCTGTATAACGGTTCAAATTTGGTTTGATTTGTGTATTGGACCTATTTTCAATTTTGACAAAACATTTGTAAATGCATCAATATTTTTTTATAAATAATGATTATGTTAAATTTATTTTAAGATTCCAAATATACCTGTAGTCATGCCTAATGCCCACCTACCATCTATGCCTGTCAACTTTGAATTTGGTTCCGATTTTGAATTTGGTAATTCAGAAATAATGAACGTTCCCTCTTCGTTTGAAACAGAGTAAACTAACTTAACTTCTTACATTTGTTTATAGTACACTTTTTTATGTCGTCTCTTGATTATTGCAGTGCTCTATTTATGTTTTTTTTAAATTAAAAATGAAAAAACCTAGTTTGAAGATATATGGAAGAAAATTTGTCAGCACTAAAATTAATCAATATTAGGATTATTCCATGACAAATCGACTAAAATTTGACTGCCATACGAACGAAACCTTGTATTATGGTTATATGGTCTCTCAAAATCCAATAAGATGCTGGTTTTAGTAATTGGGCCATTCCATAACTAATTGATCAAAAAGGAGTCATCATGGACCTTTTTCAAGCCAGAGGCTTTCATGGGCCTTAATATTTTGATGAGACCTGTCCCAAGCTCATTAATTTTTTTTCTCAAAAACCCATACCTGCTACTAATGTTAGGCTCATATTCGGCCCAGCCCACGAAGGCCTCTGAAATTAAATGAAACTTTACAGTATAATAAATGTTGTGAAGATATGAAATTTAAAGGTCTAACTTAACTAGTTCCGATGTAATGTGTGAAAGTGATCTATGAGATTTCGAAATCTCACGCAATCAAAATCCCATGGATGGTTGTGAGTTTGATTTAAATGGCCCCCAATGTTTTTGAAGCGATAAATCTAAAGCAAAAATTTTCATGACATGAATTTAAATATTAATAATATAATATAGATTTAATAATGGTAATTGTTTTAGAATAATATTTTAATAACGCTAAGATATATATTGTTTCATCATCTTTATTTTTTTAAGATTATTAAGTTGAATAATGAGATACGTAAAATCAAGGAACATCATTAAAGTTAAGGATATAAAATATAATATAGAGACAATAATGATATAACACCTAACTGTTTAATTATGATCTGTTTTAGAATAATATTTTAATAACGCTTTGCAAGATATATATTGTTTCATTTCAGGAGCTCATCTTTATTTTAACATCATTAAAGTTAACGATATAATATAATTTCTCTTTTTAATATATATAAATTTAAATAAATAGTAGATTATTTATAATTTTATATACTAATAAAATGAAGTATGTTGTGGGTAGTCTTGTTGGTAAGAGTTATATTACCTACCCTCAAAATGCAGGTTAAATCCATGTACATGTCTTTTTTAAAAAAATTGTTTTGCTTTTTTTATTTATCTTAACAAAACTCGGTATAATATCTAAAAAGCCCATGCCGTTCATTTATAGTTTGTATTTTATATTTTTAGTCTGCATTTTATCGCCTATAATTCAAAATTATTTTAATTGCTAGTTTAGCTCTTTATTTATTTTAATGTATTTTTAATTAAACATATATAATATGCAACAATATGAAATAAAACTATTATTTTTAATAAATTTCGCCTGAAAAATATCAAAAGTTCTACCTCTTAGGCCCACCCATTTTTAAAATATTTTAAAAACCCGAACACATCCATTCAAAGTATGGATGGGCGGGTGAAATGGTCGATTTGGTTAATATTTTTACTAAAACAGAAATCGATTGAAGAACTCGACAACAGGAAAATTGATTAAAAAATATTAAAGAAAATGATAAAATTGAATATGAATAAGAACAAGGCTGCTTCGGAGAGTGAAACATTAGTTATTGAATGACAATGAATTTTAGATATTTTATTATTATATACAAAAAAGATTAATATTGTCTTAAAAAACATTTATTTGAATTTGACTGGCTAAATATCGGTCAATTGACCAAATATTTGACCTATTAAATGTATTTGACACTTTTTTGAAAAATATCATCTATATTTGCAATGATATATGAATAAATATTTGAGTATCGAAATAAACACTAAGTTGGTAGCAATATGAAATGTTTTATATTTTACAAACGCACTCAAAAAATGATTTAAAGTTAAAAAACATACAGACGCTAACATATATGTGATTTTTCAAAATTATGCCTATTTTTATAAAAAATGCATTAAAATTGTTTCTTAACGATATCGCTTTCTATATTTTGTTTTTTTATTCCCAAAAGAAAAATTAAAGTCTAAATCTTACATAAAAAATATTTAGATATATTGGTAATATAAAACATATCTGGGTGGAATTATCTTAAAATAACTCAATTTTGTTTTCTCGAAAATACATAGACAATAAAAAAAATTTAAAATATTTTTCTATTTTCAAGAGAATTTAATTTATTTTATACATTTGAATCAGGTAATTTGAGAATATTAAAACCGAAAACATATCTATATTAGACTTCGAGAACCTCTAACTCTGGATCTATTTGAGCTAGAATTTATAAATTTTTATTTACAGTGACATGTCATTTTTAAATAGAATGCAAGGAGAAGTAAACAACATAGTTTTTATTGTAATTTAAAAATATATTGAAACTCTGTTTTATTTCACTATAAAAAATAATACATGTTAAATTGAAATTCTAGGAAAAAAAAATCCTTAAGAACAATGCTGACTGCTCGAAATAATTTTTAACTAAAAAATGTTCAGATTTAAAAGGAAAATGCTCAAAATAATAAAAAATGTTAAGACTGAGGTATACTTTTTTTCTTGGGATAATAAATTTAAATATAGAAGAAAAAATGGTGAATTTAAAGACAAATTCACAAGATAATCCCCCCCCCCTCAAAGTATTTATCAAAAATTTGTTAAGTTAAGACTACTATTATAAGGATTTCTTATTTTTGTTGTTTCATAATTTAAATTTTGTAGATTATGTTTTGGCTCTAAATCTTTAATTACCAAATATATTTTTTTTAAAATAATTTACATGACGGTTAAAGAAAAAAGAATCAATACACAATTATAAATTTAAGAAAAGATTAAATTTTTTTAAAAAATGTTTACACACTATGTCTTAAGTTAAAAAATTACTCCTCCTTTGTTAATTCTTTAATAAAATAAAAATATCCTTTGATTTACCTCCTTTTAATTAAAATTAACATACTTTTCACTGTATTTACAACATATTTATGCCAACATATCAACAATTTATTAATTTTTAAGAGGTCAATCAAATCGTTAACTGACTCAAAATAAAAAAAAGTCAAAGATAACCCAATCAAACAAGCACTATAAGAAATAGGTTTGGAACCCTCGAAACTGAGAAAAATAAATATACGGGACCCACTTTAGAAATATTCAGAATCGGAACTAGAATACTTCTTAGTCCCGGTATCAAACTGATAAAACCATTAACAAAAACTTAGTATTTTTATAAAATTTTAAGAATATATATTTAAAAGGGCTACCAATCTTAATATCGGATTGGCGCCAATATTTTATATTTAACGAACTTGAAACCGATCCCAAAAATATCTTCTTAAATCCGCTGGGTTTCTTAAAATTTATTGCAAAAATTGGATTTCTTTTGTTAGCCATAGCGTCAGTGTCATGACTGAATGTTGCAACCCGCCTTTGTGCATTATTTTCAACTATTATATTCTGGCATTGTTAAAATCACGTTTAGAATTAGTGGAGTCTAATGCAATAAAAAGTGTTACAGGTGTCAATATAAGGTATTTTATATGAAATACTTCACTATAAACTATTTAAAAAAAATGTTGCCTTTAATTCTTAGAAAAACTTCGTTTCTATTTTTTGCCCATTTTAGCGTGCCCCTGCTATTTTTTTGAGTAATAGCTCACCACCGGCACAAATTTTAGGACTACCATAAACTCTTCATATTATACTCTTTTATTTTGACAATTAAAAGTTTCGGACAATTTTATCTAGCATTTATTCATGTATTATACAAATAATTAATGAATATTTTGTAATATCATTTTAAAATTAGTTTACTATTGTGAATAATTTTTCAAAACGATATTAATTTTATATGATAGAAATGCTTATATATTATTTTATATCAATTTTTTTTGCTAGCAATTCTATGGAGGATTCTGAACCCCCATCTTCAATAAATAGTCACAATACTAAGGTAAAATGTACATTAAAACAAATTATTAGTTTCTTAAATTTTAGGTTCAAATTAACAGACATAGAGACATGCCACTTGGAAAAGATATTCAAAATATTCAAAGTTAGATACATATTTCAAAATTTATATTAATTATATATTCATAGGGGAAAACTCGTCAAGCTCAAGAACAAATGAGAAATCATCTATGGGCCTAAATACTTCTAGATACGAAACAATAAATACCCCACAAAAAGTAATCATGAATTGCACAGATGTAGTTTTTTGATTATTTAATGGAACTCTATTTTTTGCTTTCTTTATGTATAAAAGAAATCCTCGTATACAATTAATAAAAATTTTTTGAATTATGTGTTAGAAAACTATGCCTAATAATCGTTTGCAACCTCATTATTACGAATGTGAACGCACAAACGATCGAAATCCTTCACATTATAATAATAATGTTAGGAAACCTCAAATCGATAAAGCTGATGATACACATCAATCTGAAGTTAAATTTAGAGATAAAAACAAAAATAACCTATCAAACCTAAACAGCACTAATTACCTAAACAACTCAGCAAATTTTAATAGAAATGACGCCTTTAGTTCGTCATCGCACACCGAAAAATCGCATCAAAATATAAATTCTCACAACTATAAAGACGCAAATGAAACAAAAAGTAATTTTACGGACATTAATGAAAAAAATTCTAGAGGACTAATAAGCTCTTCTAACGCTTCCCCACATAAGGTCACACATATCCGGCCCGAAGAAAATAAATCTTCAGATTCTTTGAATCAGTATTCCAATAATAACAAACAAAGTTTACAGCAAAATAACGAAAAGTCTCATAAAAATGTAGAAAACATCTTAAATAACTCTAAGCCATCCACCCAATTCACATCACAGTACGTACATAGATTATATTTGAATAGACCTTCTCATTAAGACAGGATTATTTAACTCATAATATAAGTTCTTTGAATATTATTTTTGTAGGTGAAGGGCAATCTGGTTTCGGCAACATCCTTCATATCAAATAATCTTTATTAAAATGATTAGGTATGTTATGAGGATTATTGCAATTTTAGTATCCTAACTATTAGTTCTGATGTAAAGATGACACGGTGGTGCTCAACTTAAATTTTGCAATACACATAAAATATAATACCAAAAAAATATGAATGATATAGTGGAGACCTACATTTTCTGTAATAAGATAGCCCTTAAAGTTCATTTTAAAAAAATCAAAATAATTATCAGTCTTTTGTCACTTTCGAAAAAGGTAAAGGCCGTTTAGTAACTTACGTGTTCTTGTATATATGCTCATTATTAAGATAAATTTATGCTAAAAAAAATTCGTTTTAGTTATTCTAATTTTTTTACATATAGAATAGTATATTCATATGGTGATGTAAAAAATTAATCAATGAATTGATTTTACTAGAGTTTATAAAATCAGTCTCTTGTTGCGCTTCAAGTTTATGGTCAAGCTTGGTCCTGAAATAAAATAAATATTTTCAAGCCTTGATGATTTATTTAAATCGCTTTTAATACCATTGATTTCCCTTTTAAATTTCATAAAATATCACTTTTTAATATTACCAAAATTTATTTGGCTGGACTGATTAATTTTCATTGCACCATATCAACTATATGAGTAAAAAATAAAATAATTAGAACGAATTTTAACTCAAATTTTTTTAACATAAATTTATCTTATTTAAATGAATATATATAAAAAGTTACGCGTCGCGGAGTTTAAAATAGATTATTTCTAGAAGTAGCTATAGAACAAACGCTGATATTATTTTTGAACTTTTTAGGTTTTCATAAATAGAGGGCGGGCGTAAGGGTTAAACTAAATATTGGTTTTTATTATTTATATTTTTCAAATAATCTTTATTTTTATGTGTATTGCAAAATTTGGCCGCGTAATTTTTTCACCTTTAAATGCAAATATCTCCAAACGAATAGAGCTAGAAAAATAAAATTATAATTTCAATAATCATCACAGCATACCTACCATTGTAAACAATTTGATTTAAAAGATATTTCTCAGATTTTTAATATTTTTCTAGCTAATTAAACGACTAAAAAACCTATTTTAAGTCATAATTATATAATTAGTGTATAATAAAATTTATAAATTATTTATCCATTTTCGAAAAAAGTCCCTCATCAACTCTTAACATAAATGATACATTTGTTGGTTTATCCGTGAATAACACAAGCAATACCCTTTCCTTCAATAATAAATATTCAGTGGGTGTTTCACAAACTACTCATTCTATATCAGGTTGAGAAAAATACAAAAGCTTTTACTTATATGAATTTTAACAAATTTATTTGTAATTATTAGAATATCTTTAAAAGGGTTAATAAGAAAAAAAGAAAATAATTTTATAAAACAATTTTGCTATTTTGAGGTCATTTATTGTTGGTATTTAAAATTTTTTTAAAAATTTAATATGATATATTTAACGTTTGGCTATTAATAGCCGCTAATAGATTGCAATCTAGTTTTTCACCTGCATTTACCCCTCTTCTCAATCCTCAATATGCCTTAGGTCAAGCCTTGGGACTTCCATATTTTGTAAAATAATTATCATGTTTTATATAAATATTATTTGTTACTATGTTAAATTGACCTACAAATTGTAAAATATTATTTTTGAATAAATATAAACTAAATTCGTTTAAATAATATTACATTACAATAGCTAAAAATTAGTGTAGAAAGTTTATATGTCATAGGATGTACAGTATAATCTCAGATTACAGTAGAGGTATAATGGAATTTCATTTTACACCAGGATCGAATCAGAGTTAATCTTTTTTTTATTTTTCTTAAAATTACTCTTTAAAATTTTTTTTAGTTTATAATATTTTAATTTTATCTGATATTTTTAAATATATGCTTAATAGACGCCGCCAATATATTCCTATGAAGATTTACAGCTTCTTCAGAGGTTCCCGATGGCAGCTGGTTTTTACGATTTCTCTTCTACACTGGGATTATTTCAACAAACCCAACCCCAACAATCCCACATATCCTCGCTAACTTCGAACCTTACGAATAACCCAGCTGCCAACAATGCCTTGCTGCATAACATGATGAACAACAGTAACCAACACCAATTATTATCTCATAACAGCAGCCATAATCAACAGAATTATAATCAACAACTCACGTCAACATCGTTGCAACATCATCATAATCAACATCAGATGAACGTGCATAATAGTCATCATCACAATAACTCTTCATCCTACACTCATGCAGCTACTAACCAACAACTCGCATCTTCCAATAATTACAACCATACTAATATTAATATTCAAAATGCCTCATCCTTATTGACTAATAACGCTGGTAATAACCAGATGGCGGCCAATAATTCACTCAACAGTAATACTAATTCTAACGTTTACCTCATGAACCAACTCCTGCCAGGGGTGATGAATTCTCTCTTCCTAGGTCCCACGACTGTTCAAAATAACAATATGAGACCATCCCAATTTAACCAGCATCTCGAAACTGGGAACTCTAACTTGCAACAAAGATCTGTTAGCAATTTGGAATGTGTTGGCAGCAATATTCATCACAACTCCAAATCTTTGGCAAATAATATGCCATCACAGAATGGTGGATCATCTTTATATATGCCTAATAATTTAGATAAAAAACGTGATAGCAACAATTCAAATCCTAACCTGAATAATTTGAGTCACTATTTACCACAGCAACATGTGTCCTACATGGGAAATTCATCATTTCCACCCTCTCCTGGTAAAAAATAATAATAATTTTTAGTATACAATAAATGAATATTAAAGGTATGGGGATTTTGTACCCTAACGGCATGATTCCGACTTCTCCATTTCCTCAATATCCACCAATCACCGCATTTCCAGTAAATTTATGAAAGAATCGTATTTATATATTTTTTAATTAACATTAGATAAATCAACCCCAAACGTTGATACAACAAAAGATTAACCATAATCGGTTTGTGGATGAGGATATTGCTAATAAAGGTTTCTCTTTATTCATTTTATAAATTAATTCATTCTGTTGATTAATTTTATTTAGAAGTGAATAACGAGACCTATTCTCGCAACATGATGTCCAAACAAGTAATATATATTTATGAAAGAGGATTTATAAATGTAACCCATTAAGGACGAGGTATATAGGCAGTCGTTAAATTAGTAATTTAAGGATCAATTTCACTCATTACCATCCACCTATATCATTTATCAAAAAATAATTAAAACTTTTTTTTATTGGTCTTTATAAAATGATTGTTGCCTTAATGCAATAGGAAATTTTTTGTGATGCTTTATTCAAATTTTCGAATATCTAACAATGATTAAACAACTATTTTTCTTATATCTTTAAATTAATATAAAAAAAATGTTCTCTGATGATTTTTTTTATTTTTTAACAAATAAACTTTTTATAAATTGTTATATCTCAAGGATTAGTTACTATTAAGGCTTCAAATTTAACAGGAATCATGTACACCCCTTTTTTTTACATTATCGTTAAATTTGGAAAGATAATATTATAAATTGTTTGAGATATAATAAAAATAGTGTTTAGGGCCGTGCCGATATTTTAGCGTGCTCCGATCGGATATCTTTAGTATTTTATGATTGTATATATAATTCTATAATATATTTTATTTTATACATAATGTCATAATAATATATTTAAAAAAGGAACCAAATTTCAATTTATTTGTAATGTTTAAAAAAAATTAGGGATGTATCGATATTTTTTATTGGATCTGGCCGATATTTCACCCATTTTAAAATATCGCTTATCGGCCAAATTATAAAATTTCCCGATCCGATATAAAATGGCGTCTTTAACAAAAATAAAATGTTATAAAATTTAAAAAAAAAGTTATATCTAAAATCATTTATTTTTATAAATAAAATCGAAATCCATTTTTATGTATAATTTTTTAATAATAATAATTGTAAACATTCTGACATATTGTTATTTTTTTGCGCATTCTGTTTATAAAAGTGTGCTATAATCTCTTCAGAATCAGTTTTTAGTGAAGCTGGTGATATTGACAGTTACCATTCCCGCAAGCTGACCGTATTTCTAAAAAAAAATCTTCAATATATTAATTTTAAATATTTATTACTTATTATGTATATAGATTAATGTTATTATTTATTATATTAAAGTGATTTAACATTAAAAATATTTTATATAGTTTTAGAATAGCAATTGAAGTGAATATAAACTATAACTGATCATGTTATACTAATAAAATGTATATTAAAAATTAAAATAAAACCATTGGTATCTTTACATAATACAAAATTAGATATGATATCAGATCTGTAATCGACCGACATCAATTTAATATCTGGAATATCGGATCGGCCTCTAAAAAGTGGTATCGGTACACCTCTAAAAAAATCGAATTATTTTAAAAGCTTATGTAGCCAAAAATTTGGCATCATCTTCTCTTATATTATCTACAATTTAAAATCTAAGAGTCACATTCAGCTAGTAATATTAAACGATTCCAGCCGATTTTTGAAAATGGCTAACTTAAGATTTTAGCCAAAATAAATTAACCTAAGTTTGGAAATTTTGTTCACAGATTACAGGAAGGTTTGGATATCTTTTGGGAATGTTTGAAGCTTAGGTAAAATTATTTTGGCTCTTAATTTAGCCGTTTTTAAAGATCGGCTAAATCGAACTGATAAGATGATTAACTTTTGATTTTTAAAAAGGCAAAATATATTTAATCATTCTTGAAAATTAGTTGGATTTATTATAAGAATTTTTTTTTTACATATGCTGGTTCAAAGATAGATAGTAAAAGTATTGCTGATCGAATCGGTAATAAATTTATGGATCGGCACAGCCCGTTTTGTCCATAATGGGTTAATTAAATCATAAAAACTATATAAAATTAAATTTAAGATTTCAACAATTGAAATGGGTGAGATATGTTAAAAATAAACTGTTGCATATATACAATGCTGATCCTTTATAGGTAAAAAAATTATTCATTATCACCATATAAAATTAAATCTAAGGGTCCAACAATCGAAATGGACAAAAATAAATCGGCGTCAGTGACTACTTATATACCCAATTCTGTCAATAAAACTAACAACCACATAAACAACAATTTCACTAATAAATCACAAATAAATTCATCTCTCAAAATTAACCATCCTACAAATCAGGAAAAACTTGAGCCTTGTAACAAACAAATAAATAATAATGCTTTGAATAACAACAATAACATGAATCAAAACCGGATCCCTTATGATATCCTAGCGGTTTTCCAACAACAACAGAACCTTCAAAATCAGAGCGGCAATATTGCCCAAAATCAGGGGGCAATTAACGCCAAAAATTCTACTCGAGAATCGAACCATGCTAACTTGAGTACCAACAATTCAACTAGTACGGGCTCGGTCGTTGGGCACAATACCAATGAAATTTGTTCTGAAGCGGGAGGAGGAATTGGGGTACTTGATCACAACGCTAATATGAAGGTATCAGATCACAGTCACGCCACAACTGGTTGTGAGAAACAACTTGCTAATATTTCTAATGCTAATAATCATCACCCTAATTTGGCCGGATCTAATAACAACGCAACCAATATTGATAACTCTTTTAACAGGTTTAAACCCTCTAATCAAAGCCAACACCCAACCACTACTTCCTTTAGCCACCATCATTCTTCCCATCACAACACACTACACCACAATGAACAACGTTTTTACCGACAGCAAAATTCACAGCCTCCTAACAACAATATCTATTTCAACCCCCATATTGGATCTTCGAACCCTCCTGGCAATCAACGAATGAACAATACTAATATGAACGCCAGTTACGGAGTCAAGCAAGCTGGCAACAATAGCAGTAGTTTGGAAAAAGGCAGTTCCGGTAACAATAAAGTTAATAATACCAGTCAATCGTATCAACATCACCACAACTCTCAAAACAGTTATTGGAACTAATACCCTCTGTATAGATTCTGCGTTTAATATAATCTAAAGGTGTCATTTTTCAAAGAACTGAAGAAAATTGCGTAATGTTGAATAGATCAAATACATTTTTCTTACTATTCTTCAACCCATTATCGGTGATTATTAATTCGATTTGACCCTTGGGTCAGTCTGATTATAGGTTTTTATTACGAATTTGTCATTTTTTTCCTTCTTTGAGCTTCAGTTATTTTTGATTATTATTTGTAAACGATGGCGATTTCATATTAACTTGTACATAGTTTAATTATATATAAATTTAACAAATCGGTCTTGTTGGTTATTATTAAATAGTTTTTTATTTGGTCTATATTTTATTCCCTGTTAGAAATGCCCCAATCATTACAACATAGAATTTCGTTTTATGCATCACATAAATGATATATTAGAATATCAAATTACTCGCGATTAAATGTTTATAATTATAAAATAACTAAGGTTTATAATTATAAAAATACGCAAATTTGAAAAAAAATTTAGCGCGACAAAATCTTTATATAAAGCTATATTGAATTTTTTCGTTTTAACGGTTCATTATTATTTGTCATGATTTATTTTCATATACACATTTTTCATTCGTTTTTATAATTAATATCCATTTATTTATTTTTAAACAATAAAATTTTTTTATAATTATGAATACAGTTATAAAAAACTCGCCAAAATCTTGGAAAATCATTTTTAAAAAAATCAGCTTTTAGTGAAATTAAGCACCTTTGGAGGCAACCTTAAGTTTTTATTTGACTGATTCTTGATTCAAAAGCTTGATTTGATCTGTAGTTGATGTTGAATTAAGATACTTAATAAAAATAATTTATATTTATTCATTGAAACAAACGACTAGTTAGTGTTGTTAAACGGCTGAACTCAATATTTTATCCAAACCTGAAGATTTTGTTCATAGAAGGAACAAAGATCTAGACATATATTAACCAAATCTCGAGGCTTAGGCAATATTTTTTCTGGCTAAAATATTGAGTTAGCCGTTTTAAAAATCGGCTTAAAACGAGCCGTTTAACAACACTACGACTAGTAGTTTCAACAGAATCATTACTATAGATTTTGAGTTGAGAGTTCCATTAGAAAAAATAAATTATATTTCACCAATAGGCTAATATTTAGATATATTTCTAAATGAGCGTCAATCATTACCTAAAAGAGGATATTTTAAAACACCTAAAAATTTGTTCAGCATTGTTTAAGGGAAAAATAAAAAAATTACTGGAATATTTTTACTCTAATTATTAAAAAGACAACTTGTAATTGAAAACAATCATCTTTTATTGTTTTTTTAGAGAAATGTTTGTACTCCTCCATTTTGACCACATTTGCACTATCATAATGTTGTATGGACAGGGTTTCTAGGTAAAAATTAATATATTGTAGATTTTCGTTAAATTTTTTTTACCCCCTTTAGGAAACTAATTCCTAGTCTAAAAAGGTACTAATTACGGATTAGAGAAATTTTTGAAAAAAAATGGAGATTTTACGAGGGAATTTGGGGTATATTTCGGAAATTTAAAAATTGTGGTAGATAGAATTTTTTTAAATCTTGATTTTTTAAGAATTGTGGTAGTCTACATCAATGTGTTTGACCTGGCAATCTTGTGTATGATGAATTTTCGAATCATTAAATCGTTTAAAAATAGCATTTATTATGCTTTCAGCAGAGAGACCTTCTAACTCAAATAGATGTCTTACGCGTTCTTTGTCTTATATTTTCTTAAATTTTACTAAAAATGGTTTTAATAATTAGACTTAAATTCCTGCTGTATTCATGGTCTCATCCACCTTAATATTAAAAAATAGCATCTCGTATGTGTTACAATTTTTTAAGATAATGTCCAATAATTTTTGCCAAAATGGCTTTATTTTTTATGAAATTTATTGGGCATTTTTTTGATATTTTAATAATTTTATTTTCGTAAGGTATATGAAAACATTGCAATTTAAAAGTCCGGAAGAATGTATTCCGCACCAGTTATTATAGTGGAACAAGGCCCACGAAAGAGAACTCGAGGCAACAAGATACTGATGTTATTATTTCATTTATTGGTTACTGAGGAAATGAAAATTTCATAAATCATTTTTTTAAAGAATTTGGAGGCTGGATATATTTTTATAATCATTTCTGGGGGCCAATAAAAAACTTGGAGGGCAGGCTTGTTAATCGATCCTATTAAAAAGATCGAATCCCGATCACGATCTTTTCAAAAAAAAGGATCACAATTCTTTTCTTATTAATCTATGATCGATGCAAAATTAACTAATATAAAAATAAATTAAATATGGTATAAATTTATTGTGAATAATATAATATAAGTATAACAATTAGAATATATTTATAATTTAAATTAGCCTTAATAATAAAAAATTTTCTAAGATATTATCATTTAAAATCCACGTCTTTCATTAAGCACATGTTTAGCGTTACTAAACAAGCACTCCGCACATGTTTAGCGTTACTAAACAAGCACTCCGCACTTGTTGCTAAGGTGTGTTAGATTCAATAAATATTTTTTTAAAATTAACATAAGTATTAAAAATATTCATTGAATCCAGGGGTTCATATCCTAACCCGGAAAACAAAACCCGGGTTTTTGGGAAAAAAATTTGAACCTAAACCCCTTTATAAAATTTTGAAAACCCCGAACCGACCGTAAATTTTATTTGATACCGGGTTCAGTGTATTGTTTAAATTATAAGATATTTGTATGTATATACAAATAATAATAATTTACTTGACATTTTATAATATTTTCAAATTTCCAATAAATTTTAAACAACTTAATTCATTTACTCCATTTTTAAATTTATTCTCAAATATTCCTATTGGATTGTTAATAAATTTTAAAGAATTAAATTCATTTACGCCATTTATTTTTAATTTTTAACTTATTCTTAAAGATTATTAATTAGAGGAAAATGAAAGTTATATTGGATATTGTTAATTTAAAGAAATACGTCTAAATAGAATTCTTTAAATCTTTACATGACTATGCTTTGTATTTTTAACTATATTTGCCTATAAATTAAATAAAAAATTTATTTTTTATACCAAATTTATGTCTAGTTTTTTAATTATGATTTAAATATAGAATATTTATTTTTATTAATTCAGAAATTCTTAAATCCGAGTTGAACCCGTAACCAAACCCGGGAAATATTTTCCCGAACCGAACCCACCTATTTTTTTAAACCTTCGCATCCCTGATTGAATCATTTGAATAAAAAAATTATTAATAGAACGAGCATTTTTTGAAGAATTTTTCCCAAAAAAGTATCTATTACATCCATACATTCATTTGAAGCATCTTAGTGTTGTTAAACGACTGAGTCGAATCTATTTAGTCGAAAACTGAGTCTAAGTTTTGGGTCGAAAAAATCGACCCAAACTGACTTGAGTTATGAACTCGAGTCGTGAACTCAAATCGACTCAAGTCGCGAACTCAAGTCGTGATTTCAAATTAGTTTTTATTATTAATTAACAATACAATTATTTTTTTTAATGACTTCCAACTTGAGTAAGTCGTGAATAGAATAGAAATTACAAGCATTAATTATTATTTTTTTTGTAAAATAATTTATTTTATTTATATTTAAATATTTATTATATTTTAAAGAAATGATATAATTTAATATTTTATATTTTATAATATATTATGAAAATGAATATTTATTTGATATCTTTTAATAAAAAAATGATAAGCTGCAATGTAAGTTAAGTAATATCATTTTTGTTACAATTAATTAATGATTTTCACGCCCAATTTTAAGCAAAATTTGATTTGATTTGAATTTTAAATCATTTTTTCTTTTTTGTTAATAAACTTTTTTTATTAATTCTTTTGTAAATTTTATTTAAATAAACAATTTTTTAGTTGAAATCTTTTATTTATATAGGTTTATTTTTATCATTTTTGTAATATCTATTTTTTTTTAGTTTAAATAATTTATTTTTAAATATTTATATTAAACTTTTATAAGTTATTTTACATGATTGTCTTTGTGATAATTGTCATGTTATTTTTTAACATTTATGAAATCTTTGATAGAAAAGGATAAAAATATAATTTATATTATAAAGATGTTAAATTATAAATTCAATGATGATGTTCCTTTCTAAAAATGACAATTATCATAATCTGTATTTTTAAACATATTAGTTTATTTTTGACGCTAATGGGTAAAAACATAAATTGTAAATATGTTAAATTAAAATTTCAGTGAAGATGCACGATAAGTGACAATTGTCATAATCGTTATTTCTAAAGTTTTTTGAAATTTTTTGACGCAAATAAGTAAAAATATAGGCTGTAAATACGTTTAATTAAAAATTCAGTGAAGATGTACCATTGTGACAATTGTCATAATCGTTATTTTTAAAGTTTTTTTAAATTTTTTTGACGGAAATAGGGAAAAATATTTAGTGTAAATATGTTAAATTAAAATTTCAGTGAAGATGTACCCTAGATAAGTGACAATTGTCATAATCGTTGTTACTAACGTTTTTTGAATTTTTTTGACGCATATAGGTAAAAATAAAGATTGTAAATATGTTAAATTAAAATTTCAGTGATAGATAAGTGACAATTGTCAAAATCATTATTTATACAGTTTTTTGAAATTTATTTGATGCACATAGGTAAAAATATAGATTGTAAATACGTTTAATTAAAAATTCGATGAAGATGTATCATAGATAAGTGATAATTGTCATAATCGTTATTTCTAAAGTTTTTTGAAATTTTTTGACGCATATAGGTAAAAATTTAGATTGTAAATACGTTTAATTAAAAATTCGATGAAGATGTATCATAGATAAGTGACAATTGTCATAATCGTTATTCCTAAAGTTTTTTGACGTAATAGATATGTGACAATTGTCATAATCGTTATTTTTTAACTTTTTTGAATTTTTTTAAAGTAAATAGGTAAAAATATAGATTGTAAAGATGTTAAAATAAATTCAGTGAAGATGTACCATAGAAGAGTGACAATAAGTGATCTGCATCGGGCCTAATTTTTCAAGCCCTACCCGGCCCGAAATTTTATTTAGAAAAGTTTTGCCGGCCCGGCCCGAACCCGAATTTTTTTTTAAAAAAATTTACATATCCAGCCAGGCCCGAATTTATTTAAATATAGAATATAATCTTTATAATTACTCAAAATAAAAGACATATATTATATGTAGTTTAGTTTCAATAAATAAAATCAAATATTTTTATTGACATAAAATATTCAATATAAAATTGATAAATTTAGATATATTTAAAAAAATATCCTAGGTCCGACCCGACATGAATTTTTTTTTTAAATATTAGGCCCGGCCTGAACCCGATTATTTTAAATAGAATTAGGCCTGAGACTCGGGTCGGGCCTAACTTTGCAGATCTCTAGTGACAATTGTCATAAACGTTATTTTTAACTATTTTGAATTTTTTTGAAGCAAATGGGTAAAAATATATATTGTAAACATGTTAAATTAAAATTTCAGTGAAGATGTACCATAGAAAGTGACAATTGTCATAATCGTTAT